GATAGAGACATATCGAGACAAATAGAGATAGATCGAGATAGATCGAGATAGATGGAAATAGTTCGAGATAGACAGAGAGAGATGATAGAGATACATAAACATAGATAGGTAGAGATAGATAAACAGAGATAGATGAAGAGAGATAGATAAAGAGAGATAGATAAAGAGAGATAGATTGATGGATTGATGAATGGAAGGATGGATGGATAGATAACTATATATCGAATGAAATGAGTGTATTTGTATAATTGTACTTACATACATACGTGTATATACATATATTTATGTAGATAGTCTAGCTGGGTTTCCTACTACATGTCTTATCCACTCAAGCCTCTTTCAGAAACAAGTGAATGATTCAAACAGCTTTTTGCCAGAGCGCCAAGTAGGGCATTAGAGTGGGAATACAATGGGAATATGGAATGTAGGGATAGGTGAAAGAAAGAGCTCACCCAGCGTCGGTAGTTTTAGCATGTGTTATAATGCAAGCTGCAAAAATCCTGTGCCCATCAACCAGCCGAAAAGTTCTCTCACCTCAGCTGCCCCTTTTGACTGGGATGTTGTGGGACCTGAGAACCCCGTTCCACATAGCTTAGCCAAGGACAGGGAATATCCAAGAATTGCCCAGGCATATGCAGTGTATCACAGGTTTTCGCCTTGGTATCATTGGGCTTACTGGTGTGCTTGGCTCGACCAGCGAGGCTGGCGCAGCGGCCTAAGCTGAGATAGAGAGCTCATCCAACTATACACCAAAACCCTGGCACCCTGGCGATTCGACAGCTTCTGATCAAAACCTTACCCCGCACCATGTCCAAAATCGCAGGGACATCCCCATAATTCCCCATACATCCCCATCCCTGAGTTTCCAACATCATTTTGGCTCATTGGGGCCAATTGACAGCCGCTGTCCGCACGTTTCATCGCGTTTCAATGCGACAGGAGCAGGGCGCTCCTGCCAAGCCATGAAGAAGTGGTACAGTATTCGATGGGATCTCTGTAAACAGAACTACTTTGTAGCTTTAATCCATCCCAAGAATATACCAACACTCAAAAAGATAGAGCAGCAAAGTCCTATCAGAATGGTGATAAACTGCTTTCGATTTTGTTTGGGGTTGCTATACATGACTGATTATTGGTGAATTGGGATGTCACCCATGGTTGAAATCCAAACACTATTTGAAACTATCAGACAGAGGGAAAATAAATCTGGGATTCCTCCAATTCCTAGAAGTAGCCAATGATTCAACATGATTCAACCCATTTTCGGTTGCATGTTCACATACTGCGTATGGGTACTATCCGCCCCACGATCGCTACTTATATGTGGATGTTTTAAATTTAACGCCTCACAATCCACCAGCCCAACTCTTGGACCCTGAAGCGAGAACCATCTCAACATCGAAGGGTGACGTTCCCAATCCCGCAGTGTAGGGATATCTACCACCCCCTGCAGAGAATTTTGAATGTCAAAGCCTTGCAAACCCTTTCTCGTGACAAGTGCACAATCAACCGGGTCTGAAGTACCAATGGTTGGATGCCACAAAAGATTGCTCAAGAGACCGGCTCCACATTCCATGCTTCCCCCAGCCCCAGCAATCCGCCCAGCCCACTCGCTCCAGTAACTTTGGGATCCAATTCAACTCAAGTTGATGGATCCCGAAAATACATGATGTAGCAGCTCATGACTGCTGCTATGTCTGAGCCAAGACAGCGCGGCTTCTGGAGATAACACATCACGCAATCGGCCACCATTTAAAGCCCGAACTGGTTATACCCTCATTTCGTAATGGCTTTTGATGAAGAAAATAATAACCCACAGAGTCTATCATCACACATATATATCATATATGTGTGTTTGTATATACATTATATACATTATACGTATAATTATAGCAAAATGAAACATTGCGATACACGAACACAAAAAATGACTACTGTACCTCCTTTTACTTATCTATTTGATGTCTTTCATACACACAGATCACACAGTTTATCTATAATCCATCTATAATTATCTAGTCTAGCTGGGCTCCCGTTCGGCTGCTGTGGCCTCCTTCACAGCCGCCACCTGTGGGATATTGTTTTGTTGTATCAATGACTTGATTTTGATGGGAATCTCTATACAATTAAGGGGCATCAAACCTTTTTATGAAGAAAACAATCCTAATTAGTGATCAACCGGTGTTTGTTCCCCGGAGTAAAATATTTACAAAAATGGGGAGACAAGATGAGATATGCTAAAGGTCAAACCTCAGTAATCCCCGCCGGAAACGAGTTTGGAAGATGACTTTCCATTTTGAATGAGTGTCGCCAAAATGGGAGATGTGTATAAGTTACAAGTACAGTACAGTATATATATAAAAGAATTAGAAGTGAGACATGACCAATCATGACATCATCCCATGCTGATATCATTTACAAATCAAGTTCGATCCTTTTTCAGGCAGCTCATGAATATATACATATGCACACGCTGCATGCCTCAAGCAACAACGTGTATCATTCAAATTTTGAGGTGAGGGTCCATGGGGAATCACACATTTTGGTCGGCTTTGGTGCCTGAAGCATCAATCTTAAGGTACAAGTGGACCACATTTTGAGCCAGTAACAACATGTAACAACTGCATCTTTTACGCCTTTACGCCAAGCTGTCGCTACGCGGCTACGCGCTCTGTTCAGGTCGGCTGAAAACCAGCCGTGGCCCGGAGAATCTGTGAGAACATGACATGACGCTGTCCACAAAGGCAGACAATGTTGACGTGTGGGAGATACGAAGATCAACACCGTCTTACTTCATCTTCCCATGTAATGTAATGTAATGTAGTAGTGGATGATTGTGGTAACTCAGAGGTACTTTGGGCTACTGGCACAAAAGCATGACATTTCCTGCGAACTATGAGCCCCATTTGGAGAAATCCCCGAGGATAGTGAAGGCGATGCCAACTGTCCAATCGTCTGAAACATTCTCAAAGTGGTTTTCCTGTTTGAATTCAAACACATGGCTTCTCTGCTGCACCAGTCTCACAAATCTCGCGTCCACAGGACAAGTTAGAGCTTATAACGTCCGCCACTCTACTTGCAAGGAAGTCTGCAATTCCTGTTTTGAATATTGAACACTTTCAAGAACCCCTGGTATCGTCATCTTGGACCCATTCATTTTTGGGCCCGTCATATCAGGGAAATTCATATCAGGGGAAATTTTCGGGGAGGGATTTGAAGCGGTGATGTTTCCAAACATTTGACCAAAAACTTTCTCCAGTCAAACTAGTGTAAGGTTCGGGATTGGAATCATATCATTGATATCTCCAGTCAATAATATAAAGCTGCCCGGTACAATGTGGTAAACCCAATAATAAAACCTCCCGTTTGGGTTGGGTTTTTTCCCTCCTCGGGGAAGCCATTGTGAATGGTTTTCTTGGATTTACCATCTTGAGCCAATACAGGAATCGTTTCTTTCAAAATTTGCTTGCAAGATCTTACAAGAAAAATGTGGGATGGTGTAATTACTTACAGTATATTTCTTTCTTGCAAGTCCATCGCTGCGCACAAGGACCTGTCCCCACCGTTTCTGGGGGATACTGTTCGAAAGGTGCGGAACAGCCCGTACAACCCCGGAAAAACGGCGACGTCATTGTGACGTGACAACGTGCGGCCATCGCACCGAATCGTCATCATATCCAATTTGCAAATCAATACGTGCTTTCTGGAAAGGACCATAAAGTACTGGCAAACGCGGAAACTTTCAAACTCACATCGAAATAAAATATAATCAGATTCCATTCATTCCAGAAAGCTCCTCACCCAGCGTTCCTCGGGATCAACTTCTTGCATCATGGGAATCCATGGGAAATCATGGGAATCCGAAGCATGTCCAAAAATGGATGGTCTTAGATGCTGCTTTTGCAAAACGTCCATGGACTCTTCACCACCGCGTACTCCACCAGCAATGCGGATCACTTTGGCACCCCCAAATGGATCACCAACACCATTTTTTTGGGCTTTCACACACTTCAACACTACATGAGCAACTGACAGTGTCAGGACATATCAGCGTTGCACTGGACATCGTCACCATATGTCACCATCATAACCACACAAGGATTGCTGGAAAAGCTTTGCGCCCATGGCTAGGCCTCTTCATCAATGATACAACTGAGTTACAACTGTTGTATGTACCATTATATAATCCATTATATATACCAGTCTTAACCAGTATTAAACATTGATTAACATTGATTAACCATCATGAATCATTAATGATCCACTGTGGCTTCTCACGATCCCACCAGGTGATCCCGGCAACTAAGGCATGGTGACTTATACCCTCTGGTTATCCATGTATGGAAAAACCTTACCTACATTGGGATCAATGATTTAAAATTACTTTAGGGGTGTAGGTAAATATTCCAGCACCATGGATCCTCTGGGATATATATACCAAATGGGCTGAAGGTTGAGAGATGAGTCGGATGAACTGAGAGAGCCTTTCCGGGCACCCAGCAGCCGTGGTGTGAAAAGGCTATGGCACCCATCGTCATATCTACCATATGTTCCATTGCAAAGCTGCCAATCTTTTCCGACTTCCGTATGCTTGCACAGCAAAATTCAACAAAGAAACCACTGATGGATATGGAGGTTTCCAGAAATGGAGGTAACCCGCAAATCCATCCATTTTAATAGGATTTTCTATCTTAAATTATCCATTTGGGGTACCTAGATTTATGGAACCCCGTATAAATCATCGTGATCCCCCCATAAACAAGCACCACTGGAAGCATTGGATATCATCGGGTGTCAAAACGTGTCAGAACTATTGGAACCCCAAATGGCTCCATAATTCAACACTAGAATCAATAGAACTAAACAAAACCTCTTCTTCCATGGTAGCCCTCATGAGTTGATCCTCATAGGATTGCTGAGCCTGCATCGCCCTGCTGGCTTGCCTTTCAGCGATAGTTCCTGGGCCATTGAAATGTGGGATTTCCCAGCCATGCGAACGATTGGATGGCAAATGGTGACTGAATGCGCCAAGCAGTGCAAGTTGTAAGATCAAACTAAGTGTTTAAATAATTCATAATAATTCTAAATAGTTTTTTCCGCTCAACTGACTCTCTCTCCAAGTGGAACTCCATGAACGCAGATCTGCAACCGCAACAAAAACTGAGCTGCTGTGCCTATTGAAAGCCAGGCTGTTCTGGACCACTGTGGATTCAACAGGCAAGAATGATGTTTTAGCCAGCAACAATGCTGGATTTCGAGCACCGAAAACCGCCAACAAAAACCTTGGATCATCGACGGAGCCAAGCTGCGGGTTATTCGCATCAAAACCCAATTGGTTGATTGCCACCTTGGTGAACTTTTTCTTCTCCTGATATGGATTTAGCCGCTTTAGCCAATGGGAATTTATAGCCATACCAATATTGGGATCATGGGAATTACGGTACAATGTGGGATTTTGGTTGGGATAAAGAAGGATATACTTTATGGGAGATACCCGTCGGTGTCATCAAACGCGGCTGGGAACGCCTCTTCATCCATGAACATCTAGTTCAATAAATCTACATGATATATGAGAGGGGAAAATCATGAAACTAAGCAAAAATGGGGAGATACTCAAAATGGTCCAACCTGAAGACAAGAGCCAACCGAAATAAGCACAGATCATTGGTGGAATTTGGCCTGAGCAGTGGTCCCATTTCCTATTGTGGGTTCATCTCAAACGACCAACCATAGGTGATGGAATAGTTACAATGGGATTGCCAACCTGTGGACAAGGGACACGATACCTCGCGTCATGGTTTCTAAATGTTCCTAACCTTGAGATTCACAAGAATCACTTTCCGTGAACCGACCAATCCTTCACAGGCCAAGATGATAGTGATAGTGCTTGGCTCTGCTGAATCACAGAATTGGAGCATTGATGGGTATCAGGCACAACTCCCTACGCATGATCCGGCAGTTCGTGTCACTGTGTCACTGCTGCATTGCTACTCCTCATGAGGTTTCAGGATAAACCAGGTCACAACATGCTCGATTTGTTTCTACCAATGAGCAGCTATCAGGGCATTCTTTGCAAACAAAACCTGCTCTCACAAATGTCGAAAATGTCCGAAACCAAGATGTTCTGTTCCTGCTGTTTAGTAACCAAACAATGTTTTTTTTTTTAATCGCTGGCGCTCCCGGGCCTTTTTCTTCGGAGGAGCAGCACCGCTGCTTCCCGGCTTCGCTGGGGCGGTGGCCTATCCCCAGTGCTCGGTCTGCGAAACCCATTGAACAACCCTAAAAATCATGGTTTAGAACCTTCTTCTATGAACATAGCCACAACTTGTGGATACCAGTTTTCTATCATCGAACATAGCTATGATGTCGCTATATCCATGGGATATCCCACATTTTCACACCTGATGGAGGGGTTCCAAGTTGAAAAACAAACAAACAACCAAGAATGGGACCTCAGGCTCCACTATCAAGGTCCCAAGGTGAGTCAACTAAATTGTCCTGTGGTTTCCCAGTGGTTCACCATTGCCATCTATCAACACAGCCTGAACTGATTGCTCTGCTGCTTCTTGCAGGGAAGGCCCAGCCAGCTCTTCTGGAACGGACCTTGGCTCAAGCATTGATCTAGTCAGGGGGATACCAATGGGCTTCGGGCACCAACCTTTCAGCAGTGTTTGGAGACGTTGATCAAAATGATCAAATGATTTATGCAGCATGTTTGTATGCCTGAATTCAGCATCCAATAGAAGCCTTTGGCATCCAGCCGTACCTTTTCACTGACCTGGTGGAAGAACTGTAACCAGCGACTGCCGTTCTGAGTTGAGTAGAGCACTAAGGCGCGATAGGGCTGTCACACAGCAAACCACACTATTGCGCAAATATTGTCAAGTAGACAGTACTAATATAGGCCCATCGGAAGAGACAGAACATATTCTACCATAATCTACCATATATCTGTCTGTCTGTCCGTCTGCCTGTCTGCCTGTCTAAAGTTCAAATCATAATGTTGCCTCATGTTGCGTGTGTTTGGCAGTGCCAAGAATTATTCATTCTAAAACCATCGATGACTCCATCTGGTGAAACAAGGTTCTTGAAGCGTCGAATTTTCAGGGTCAATAGTCTTCAGCAAAATCATCAGAATTCACCGGAAAATAATTAAACATCATTACAAACCTTCTAACTTATAAATCATCATTTCCAGGATTCTGATAAACCCAAAGTCATCACCATAAATCACCATAAAATCATCATCTTTTGAGGCACAAAAAGCCTCTGATGCGAGTGCTGCTAGTGCTGGGCTGCAGTCTCAGGTACGACTCTTGGGCATCGATGGGTGTTCCCCATTTGGAGGGTGCCAGTGGTGCCTCGGTTTGTAAAAGTGGTACCGTACGTAACTTACGGTATGGCGCCAGTAATTTTTACCATCCCCAATAGAGGGGAATTGATATCAAGATATCACAATATATCTATATTCTGATAATTTCAGTAAATCTATATAGTGATATCTATATTCTGTTAATATATCTATATAGATATTATCTATATTCTGTTAATTGCTGATCTATCGAGACATATTCTGATAATTAAGTTATGCAAAGAGGAAGTATAAGATGTATAAGATCCACCCACATTGACGCACCACGAAGTATCACCTGAAAATCTGCGCAATTGTTGGGATCATTCCCCCAACCACCTGTTTCTAGGGTAGCTGACCATGTCGGGCCATGATTTGAACCCCGCCTTTGCCTTCTCCTTTGGTTTGGGCTTTTCAGGTGCCGGTTTGGGCTTTTCAGGTGCCACTTCCGGCGCTGGTGTTACGGCTGCAGGGACTGTCCTTGGCAGCTGGCTTCTTTCATGATTCTTCCCACAGGCGGATTAAGTGTGGAAAGGGAAGTAAAATGTCGTAAAAAAAAAGTGGAACGACCATAATAAGAATTGAAATAATTCAAGCCACCGACCAGGTATTGTCAAGGGACTTTGGCTGTCTGCGTTATCAGGACATGGATACCTTTGAATTTCTAGTGCTACTTGGAAGACAAAAGGTTCCCATCATCAAAATGCATTTGTCGTGAACCACTTTCCCTGTTGGACGGTCACAAGTACTCAAAACTGAGGTGAACAGCTTTAAAGCTTTGTTAATGTATGGGATACCCTCATGTCGATGAGGATTCCATGACTGCCGTGAAGGAATCCCTACTAAGAATGGATTCAGAAAACACTGGCAGGAGCTCTGAAGGGTCTGGGTCAAAATGGTGTACCCCCCAAATTCAGATGTTCAAAACGAATGACCCGCATTTCTTTTGGCTTGGGCCCAACAGAAATGATTCACATTGATTCACTTTCTGCAAATTACTTACGCTATAAACATGTGTGGGTGAGTCTCGCACCATCTCGCACCCTTACATTCTGAGTCATACCAGCATTGAACGATCCCATTCTTATTTTTGTTATACCATGTTAACTCCCGCTAATCCCAATGCTAATCCGTCAGAATGGGATAATATATATATAATTATACATATTTATACATAGTTATACATAATTATACATAAATAATTATACATAATTATACAATATTCTACATAATTATACATACTTGATTATAGCCTGTTGCAATACCAACTTGGTCTATCGCTAGACCAACCCATCCTCCATTTACAACGAGACGCGGATTGCTCGGTGGGGTACTTTGGCCCTCCTCGGGCGCCTGGGGTTTCTAAAAATGGGTCATGCCCAAGTCACCATGGTTGTTTCAATCCTAAGTCATGGTCTAATGATAACTGGTGGTAACTGGTGGTACCCCCATGACTTAGGAAACCTCCTAATATAAGTTTGGGGTTGTTTTGGGTTAGTTATCTTATGGGGAGATTTCAAAAACTGGTACCCGGGGTACTGTACCCCAATTTTCAGAAATACCTGGCGGAAGTTTAGTCAAGAAAGACATGGATCATCTAGGTTTGCCTTTCCAACATGTGTACGGTGTAGACTAGAGGGAACGATGAATGAACGTTCAACATCTGGCAGTAAGAATCTTTGTGTGCGCGCGGAAAGTCCTTTTGCTTCAAGAACTCTTGCACATTCCACTTCATCTGTATGTTGCTGCGCTTCTCTCAGATTCGGGCTATTTGTTTGACGCACTCAGCATTGCAATTCATATGAAACAGGAAAACAAAACACCAGCTTGAAAAAATAGATTCAGACTTTGTCGTTCTGTCATCACTCATATTCTCTCCCGGCACCTTAACTGCCCCAAAACTGCTATACAATGAATTGTTTGTGTCAGCTGTATCCCCATTTGTTCTGGATACATTTCCGTATTGTGATTTTTCTCCCATTGTCCGTGGATTACAGACTGCGTTTTCCTGTGGCTGCATACCCACGATTCTTGAGAATCCTCAAATCCACCTACCTGTGGCTAAAAATGTGGGTTCGCCGACACAACCTTTTAGGGGTTTTAAAGAATATTGTTTCAAGGGAATCTTAAAGATGTTTCAACAGATGTTCTAGGGAATCATCAGATCCCCACCCCCGTTACACTTTAGATTCAAGGGAAATTTCATGAAGGTAATGGAGTTTAGGGTTTAGGGTTCAGGGCTTAGGGTTAATGATGATGATGATGATGACGACGACGACGACGACGACAACAATAATGACGATGTTGTAACATTCAACGCACAGGTTGCTATCTAAGCTGTGTGTTGCAAGATGAAAGCCATGATCATGGACATGGCTATTTTGTCCCACAAAACACAATGTTTTTTGATGTTCGGACAGGTCGTGGACGTCGGCGCGGGCAAAAGGAGGGGTTTGCCGGCCCATACGAGTACAGTACTATTATTACAGAACACTAAATATACCAAAAAATCACCAAATTTGACGTAAAAATACGGTGTTTTGATGGATTAAAATGGATTAACACCATAGAAATGACCAAATTTTTTGGTTTCAGGTCCTAATTTTGTGCCATCCACAGCCCCAGTCCTCAGGTTCTTCCGTTTCCGGCGCCGGGGGCGATTCTTCTCGTGGAGGAGGCTGGAAAAAGTCCTTGGTGCTGCGGGCCTGCAGAAACTCTTGAAACCGTTGCAGAAAAAAACAGTTCAGAAAAACACAACTATTTAATCCAGTACTATATAAATACAAATATTTTGATATACTATGATATACAATGATATACAATGATATACAATGATATACAATGATATACAATGATATACAATGATATACAATGATGTACAATGATATACAATGATATACAATGATATACAATGATCTACAATGATGTACAATGATATACAATGATCTACAATGATGTACAATGATATACAATGATATACAATGATATACAATGATATACAATGATGTACAATGATATACAATGATGTACAATGATGTACAATGATATACAATGATATACAATGATATATATATATATATGTATATATATCATGTATGTATATACACATATGCTTGTATCATGTATGTGTATATATATATATATGTATATATATACATACATTACATTACACTGCATTACATTACATTGCATTACATTACCTTACATACCATTACAGTACATACCATTACATACCGTTACATACCGTTACATACCGTTACATACCATCACATTACATTACATTACGTTACATTACATTACATTACATTGCATTGCATTGCATTACATTACATTACATTACATTACCTACATACCTACATACTTACATACCTCCCTACCTACCTACCTACCTATCTACGTACGTACGTACGTACGTATGTGTATGTATGTGTATATGTATATATATATATGTGTGTGTGTTCAAACATATATATATATTACATATGTACTGTATGTACTTGTATGTATATTGCATGCACGTTTTGGTATAAATGCATGATAAAATGATACTATAAGGTGGTCAAATGATGCAGTACAAAAACGCCAAGGGGCGTGAGGATTCATCCTGGTCCGGTGAACTTTCCTCGGAGACTTGATGTTGATGGGGGTTAAGAGCTGGGAAAATCATTGAGAACATTTCCAGCCATGATTGATTTCCAGAAGGTATCGACATCTTTCAAATCTTTTTGCACGTTGATTATTCTTGTGAACTGATCCAAATCGGCTTTGTCAGGATGGGGGTTTTGATGGGTTTTGCAAACGCCAGCCCAAGCATCTCCTTCTTCTTTGCCTGTGGTGCAGCTTTCTGTGGCTTTAAGGCTGCCTTTCAGGCCAGCGATGCTAGTGGTCCAGCTTTCCATCGGAACATGTCTATGCCCCATTTGCACCTCTTGACGTTTCTGCTCTAACTTTTCTTCCAACTCTCGAGCTTTCTTCTCCTCAGCCTCTTTGTGAGCCTCTGAGATGTCAAGGAGCAACATAGCTATTTTTCATGTATTGGGTCAATCATTCAAGATTCTTTGGAACATCTTGGAACCCATAGATCTTCGCTAGGCCTCTAGGCACGACAATTTTGACTTCGTGATGACACATGGGCTGAAAGGCATGGCTCTGACGCTTCCTTGTACATTAGATTTGTTTTTGGTCAGTGGCAATCCATCCCATTTCCGGATACTCCGTTCTCAATGTACTCCGTTATATGGGACGGAAGTATAATGAAGAATTATGAAGAATTATATGGAATGTTCCATAAGTGTCCCTATAAATAATGAGCTCGTCCCCATCCAACTGGAGCCATGGTGGCCCAGCTGCCCAGCTGACCATGTCCGACCAGCTCTGCAGAGCCTGACGCTTCTTCTCAAGCGCCTCTTCCTCCTGGATGGAGAGAAGGATTGAACCAAGATGGGGCAACGAAACCAGTAGCCTCTGGTAAACATACAAAAAACTATGGAAAATCACCATGCTATTAATGGGAAAATCCACTATTTCTATGGCCATTTTTAATAGCTATGTTAAACCAGAGGGTAGCTCACAAAAGGATGGAAAGTGACTTAAACTATAGTTACCCACGAAAGATACAGAATGTAGAACAGATTTGAAACGTAATTCAATGCAATTTACCTCGAAAAATTGTAGTTTGCTTGTCACTTTTGTATCTTGAAATATGGCTTGCAATTTGGCACCACATGTCAGCACCAACTTCCAGGATCCTTCCGCAGTGTTCCGGTCTTGTGAATCGCAAGTGGTCATGTCAACCCGTAAAACAAGAGAGTGTATAATAATATATCCCATAGGATCCATGTATGGTATATATATGCTAACATTTGGGGTATATTGATGGTAAATGTTACCATATATAGCATACATGGATCCTATGGGTATGATACAATGATCATATATGGAGGTTTCCTCTGGTTTTGGGGATCCCAAATTATAGGAACCCCCCTCTGACCAGAGTCATTTTTTTCGATCAAATGATTCCGAGCCAAGAGTAATTCAAAAGTCACAAATATCAGTTTCAAACCCCGGAAACCAACCCGGACGATTTGCTCATTTCTTCGTCAACAAGACCTGCTAACCATGGCCATTGGGGATTTACCAAACCCCGATGAATTACAAGAAGTCACCAACCTGGCCATTTGGTTATTAACTATGATTAACTATGATTCAACTATTATTAACTATGATTCAACTATGATTAACTATGATTCCCTTTATCAACTATTATTAACTACGACTCAAGTGACGTCGCGACGTGCCCATGGCCGCAAGCCGCACCCCGCCCGCCTGCCGACGCTTTCTTTCTTCTGCCTCGAGTGCTTCTCTCTTGGCTTGTTCCGCCTCCGCGTCCGAAAACGTGAAGTTTCAACAGGACGATGGAGTCATTTGATCTAAGGGACCTGTCCTTCACATGGAAAAATGCCAGGATTTCTGGATGTTTATCCAAAACAATTGTATTTGAAGGTATTGATGCATAACCATATATAAAGATTAGGTGCAGAATATGTTGATACAATTGCTCTATATCATCTGTGACTGCTTGACCACCCGATGCACACTTATTTGTAGTGTCATTCTTAAGGTATTGATGTCAGGAAGTGACATAAATGACTCTCTACTCTCCCTCTCTGTCTCTAGTACACATAAATGATATTCCAAAGTATCTACACCTATATATATAACCCAATACATATACATGACATAAACGACTGCGCTTCCCCTCGTCAGCCCGGTGTGTCTTTGGTGTCTCGCCTTCTGCTTCTCCAGCTCAATGAGAGCTATCTGCAGGCGACGGTGAAAGTCCTCCGGGTCAGGGGCCCTTGGCACGTTGCCTTTTTCACCGGTTCCAACTGGTGCAAATCTAGGGAAAATCATCCATAGATGTGGTGAAAATATGGGAAAATCATCCATAAAAAAGAGGTTAGCCTACCCATTACTATTACTATAGTTACTATTTCCTGCCAATTTCCAACCAGGTAACCAGTCGATTCTTGTATTGAGCAAAAAACTTGCTGCACAAAATTACGACAAAATCCTGAAAAGGACAAACATAGCAGAGTCACCAAACTCCTGCAAACAACTACAGTACCAGAACGGGTGGAAACGCAATAATTACGCTGCGAAAAACTCTCATAGACATAAAGTTCTCTAGCAAAATGCTTCCAAGTACTGAATTTTCCATCCCGATGCTGGTTACGGGAGAATAACATTTTGAACACCGATTTGCATAATTGTACTGCCTCCCTGTTATGGGTTCTGCACCCATTTCTATATCTCCACCAGAACATCCAGCCATATATCATAAACGTATATTATATGATCGAAAATAAAAAATGCTTGGCAAATTTATGTTCATTCACCATCATTCACCGAAATATGGTGATCATCCAACTTTCACTTCTTGAAATTTCAGCGGCTCGCTGCTGGCCGTCCTCTGAGGTTTCAAACCACATGCGACTCTTCCGTTCAAGGCCTTGGACCACCCTGGCTGTCCATCCCTGTTACGCCGTAACAGAAACCGTAACAGTTACGGTTTTATATGTTTCATAAGCATGTCGTTCATCCAAAGATGCAACCTCAAACATACCTATGCTTTCTGTCCGGGCAATGAGGACAGCTCCGGGTCGATGAACAACTCACACAAACCTTCTAGGATTCTAGGATATTAGAGGGATTAAGACCACAGAAAAACACATCCATTCGATGGTCACCGGTAGGTCTCCAGAGATTCCCTGCGCTGTTGGTACCAAGTTGCGTCGCTGATCATCTTGCAGCGACGCTTTCTTTTTCATCTCAGCATATCATGGCTAGGTCGTAGGGCAATGTGGGTGTCAATACGGACCAATGGAATCCGATGGACCCAGAATAGTAACTTTTATGTTTAGCGGCAACATCCATCGTTATCTATGGGTGTTCTCATGATTTTGACCCATGGCCAAGTTTTTCCGGCTCGTGAAACTCTCAGGGACAGCTGATCTAGCCGAGGGAATTTCTGAAAAAAATGACAAAAATGAGCTACCCCTATTTTCACCATTGATTACCCTATTAAGAATCACAACTCCCAAAACTTGGATGATTGTCCACCATATTTTGAACACCTCCTAGATGTTGCCACGGATGCGAGTCTCTGAGGCTCCTTGCCCTATTGCGATCGTATTCACCTGAGTCACTGCCGAGAGTGGAATCCACCAGATCAAGTTATCAAAGATACATGTGGTAAACCCTAAACCCTAAACCTACCATTTACAATCCCAAAAAATGGTGATGGGGATGGTTTACGATCTTTTAGTTTACCACATGATTTCATATGATTTCACTAAGCTGGATATGTGTCAGAATATGTCAATATGGGATAGTTATATACCCCAATCCCATTCCCATCCAGTGAAGTCGCAGTGAGGTCGTGATCATTTTTGCCCACCACATGGCTGCGACCAAGAATCCCAAGAACTCCCTCATGGCTTGTGGTTTCATCTCATGTTTTTTTTTTAGCACAGCAAGTCTTGGTGCCAGGATCATTTGGTGCTTACTATAATATCTATAGTTCTTATAGAATAGTATAACCAACAACGCTCGGCAGTTTGAATTCTCATAATATTGTTAGTTCATGTTGGTTCTAGTTATTTCATAGTTGTTGGTGGTGACCTAATAATCCCATAATCATGAGAACCAACAAGATCGTAACATATCATCATACCTACTATTCTATAATATATTACTAAACAGTATCACTATTGCAGAACTACTATAGATCATGATAGATTATGACAGATTGTCATAGATCATCATAGATTTTCATAGACAACTACTATTTTAGATTATAGATTTTTATAGATTACTATAAATACAGTAGTTGGTTACACATTACAACCACATATCTTTTCATTGCTCACCGACTCACAGCCCTGGGCTCCAGCACTGAGGTTCCTCTCCGGTGCTCGTTCTAAACGTTCGATGCTTTTGAGCTCCTGACGACATTGTTGTCTGAAAATCACCATGTTGCGCTAGGACATCCGAAAAAAATGCTGCTTTCGCTTGAGAATCACCATGTAAATCACCAGATTGTGTTGGAAGTCACTTTTTTTTGCTGGAATACAACGATTTTTGGATGGGGCATGTCCCATAATCATTTACTGTAAGAGTAAGGTCATCTAGTTCAAGGGAATTTCAAAGTCCCAGTTCCATTGCCAAAAGGTATTGGTTAACATGCGGAACTGTAGAATGTCTTGAGCACAAATACACTTCACAGCGTCAGACTTTCAGACAATGTTGCGGGATTCGGCATGTGGTTGGCTTGACTATGCTTGACTCAGGCCAAACTAATGAAGTCATCAAAAAACATTCAAAAACACCAAATGATGTTTTCCAAACACCGCAAAATTATGCAACATTATTAGACATTAAGATGGTTTCTGAGTTTTTCTATGTGTAAGCCTAAGCGCGAGGAAGCAATAATCACGGCATGAAAAAGGAGACAAAATGTCTCTTAATGTCTGCGAAGGCCCGTGTCACCACCTGCCTGGCAGATTGGGAAGAATTCTTCCAAGTTTGCCACTGGATGGGAAATTCCTTGAGCTTTGCCCCTTGGTGCCAGCGGGCTGAATGTTTCAGACAGCAGTAGGTTCAAAATGGTTCAAACAGCGTAGGGATAGTCGACAGGGATGAAGTTGGCACCCTGATGGAATGTTCGTGCTTTCAGAGGCCCACGGACCGCATCACACCTTTGACAACTGAATGACAATAGCTAAGTCAGCCAAGTGTTTTTCACTTGGCGATGATTAACAGCTGGCGTGCATGGATGTTGTGTAAACAGCTGGTGGGAATAGATTTTCACTTGTCGGCAGAGTCCTCTGGGGCCGGAGCAAGCTGAGGAGCATCTGCTCATATTTCCTGAGAACGTCAATGATTTAAGGCATCTGGTTAATGGGCATCGGGCCATCGGGCGTGTTCATACTTGCTTGTTTGATTTCCCCATCAATTTCCGGCTGTATCCCAGGTGGGGTCAACTGGGCTACATCAATTGATTACTGTTGATATTCCCAGCTGTAAGACCACTATGAACCAGCATGTCCAGAAACCAATCGAACACCTGTTGTTGGGTTGTAAAATCAGTGGGTTTCGAGAAAAAAACATCAACCAACAGTGATTCTGGGTGCCTAAAAATGCCAAGCCTATTTTGGCTGTGCCCAAAATTAGACTACAGTACCCAAAACTTCGATTCTTTAGTGGCACTCAATTGGGGTATACATTGGGTATAAGGTACACCAGGTATACCCAATTTCTGGACCATAACCTCTTCCACTTGTTGTTCTTCTAAAGAATCCCGCACTTCACCATGTCCTGATATTCCATGATATTCCCGCTCCAAAATATTGGAGGAGACTTGCCGGTTTCACATCCAAATTTTGCCCAAATCCCGATCAAATCCCAAGTAAATCCCCATGACTTCGCAATTTTTGCCCAGTCTCTCCACGGTCTTTGGCTTCTCTTGTGCTTTGGCCGCAGCTCGCTTGGCTGCAAAGAGCTCTGCCAGCCCTGGGCGTTCCTGGTCAGGCGGGGAGAATGAGGTTTTCAACCATGGGAAACGATGACTTAACCTATCTTCACCTCCATGGAACTCAGTGGATGGCTTTGATTTTATGATTTTATAGCTGATCATTAATCATTAGAATCAATATGAATCCATGATTTCCGCTGGATGCTTTTCATTTTACATATTATAATGAGATCATTAAATGATGATACCGTGGCTGCTTTAGGGCCAGTTTTATGGCCGCAGTCATCATGGGATGGTCCTCCGCAGTGATGCGGCCCTGGTCGATCATTTCTTGTGCCATGGAGCTCAAGCTCTGAATCTTCTCCTTCCAGGTGGCCAGTGGGTGGCCCACTGGCCAACTTGATCACTGGCTTGATCTAATCTGATGTACTTGGGAAAATCGATCAACAACCTTTCATTCTACTGTATCATTCATGGTTATCGTGGTTTTGACTTCCTGGCTGGGTTGCCTGTCGATTCTCTTGCCGAATTCAGGGACTTTGACATATGGGGGTGGTCCTTCCAGGATCCCCAAGATTGCCCAAGATTGGGATCTTTTAGGATTGACATCAGCATTGGCGCTTCAACTGGAACTTATACTAGACTCTGAATTGCTAATCTTGTGGCGTTTTTGGAGGTTCACAACAAATCTAATCCAACCTGTGGTGTTGTCGGGACGTTCCCTCCCAGGCACCTTCAGATCTAAGCTGTTGTAGTTGTTGATAAGTTCGTGCTCCTTCGAAAAGGTTTCAGAAATGAACTTGCGAGTCTCGCAGTAAATTATCTTCATATCAGGAAACCGCCGTGATCAGTATATAATTCATTATATGTCCTATACATTTTAATATCAGAAAGGGGTGTTGTGAGCGCTCAAAAAACGACATGTTGGGGATATATATATATATATAGCCTTCATGATACTATGGATGGTTTCAGGTTTTTATATGTTTTTTGGCGCTCACTTTAATATATTTTAATATGAGGGGGATGGGAAAAATCACTCCTCGCTTTCCATCTTGCCTTTGACCTTTCCCACCGCTTTCACCTCAGACTTTCGGCCACCTTGTGAGGTCAGCAATTGTTGGACCGGTCGCTGTGGGCTACGACTCACAAGCATCACAAGCTCTAGCTTTATGGATAAATCCTAATAAAGATTATCAAAGCCCTTGGTTGTCCTTGGTTTAACATGGTTTAACCATCATGAAATCCAATGAAATCCCAGTAAGTCCCCTTAAAGCATCTTCAAGCCAAGTCATTCCCATGCCACTTCCACTATCTTCCACTACTAGTTGTATCCCAAGGACTCGCTCGTTGTGACCCGCCCAGTTGCCATGTAGAGCTTCTCTTCCGTCGCGGAGATTTTTGTAGTGAAATCCTGGCAGGGGATGGACTGGATCTAGAGCATAATAAAGCATCAAGGATGTCCATGAGCAAATGTGAAATGTAATATGGCTTGGCCCAAAAATATTGTTCGTGAGAAATTCACGATGATCATAATAGATCATAATAGCCTAAATTTGCAACGGCCATAGACTGGGGTATTTTCCGAGATGCAATATTATCACCATATGAAGGCAACAAAAACACGGGGAGTAGCCTTCAAAGGGATATATATATATATGAGATGAATAATTTGCTGAGCTGCCAGCCAACTACTAAAATATATTTAAAAAAATTGTGCAGCGCAAATACTGTAAACAGCCTATAAGGGATATATATTAGTATCTTAGTCACTATAGACATCTATTGCAACCCGATCGCCACCTTGAGGCCAACGAGAAGACGCTGCTTTTCCTCAGGCACAAATGAGCTTGGATGGGAGTACCCTTCATGTTACCCCAATGGCCCAACTTAGATATTGAAATTACCCCACTGGCCCAACTTAGATATTGAAATTATATTTAAAATGATTTAATGATATTTAGATCGTGATGAATCCATACTCCTTTAAAATCTTCAAATTGCAGTGTCCCAGTGTCGAACTTTTTTCTGATCGATCCAAGATCATTTTTAAGCGAAGTATCCACCTCTCTAAGCCCCCTTTTTGTCGTGGGGATTTCATGTCCTTTTCCATGCTGTTCCATGCAACATCCGACGCGAAGAGCTGCATCTGAGTTACTGTGTAGCCAGGCAAATGGCTCTCAACCGTCTTGGCGAAGTCCTGATGATAAAAAGGAGATGTGGATCTGACCCACAGAAAAAAAAAAAAACCTGACTTCTGAACTGTCTCCCTCTGACTCTCTCCAGCATAAGAAACTAATTTGATATATGATATATAATATATATATATAATTATATATATACATATATGATATATGAATTGCGCACACACACATATGCAAATCCATCCAGACAGTATGTGGGAGAATGTATATAGGAAAACTTGCGCATTCAGTCAGCTCAATGATGTTGTGATGACAACAACATTTCATAACATTTCAATCTGCACAGCACGCCGATCAGTACCGTCAATACCGTCAAGACCGTGATGGGTCAAGTATGGTCAAGTCATTCGCCCCAAAAAAATCCATGGCGCCATGATCACGACTCACCCCGAAGGCGCCTTCAGCTTCATGTCCAAGGCGGCTAAGGCCTGAAGAAGTGACGAAACAAAAAAGGGGCAAGTTCTGATCCCATGCAGAGAACTTTGGACCGAAGTTTGGACCTCGTGGTGGCAATCAGATCTTTTGAGGCCAATGATGTCTGCATCACATCTCATCATAGATTCTATGGCCATCATACGTTCTTTCATGCTGAGTTCCTACCCATCTGTTGCGAGACGATTCCGCTCCGTCCTGAAAATTGCTGTCTTGAAAGATCTCCCTCTCCATGTCCACCATTTTTCACGTCGCGAAGGCTCGAATTTTAAGACAAAGCGTTACCCAAAGAAGCGGTCCACCGGTCCAAAATCTTTGACAATGTCCAGTGGGTCGATTGGGTTGCAAGATGCAGTGGAATCAAAAGAATACCTTTGTTGGAAGAGATCTGAAAGTGTAAATCAAAATCATCGACCTGGTCGGTGTTCAATGATTCAAGCATCAAACACATGTTCAACAGCTTACTTCGCTTGCAACTCTATGCTCATAACAGTATAACATAGTATAACTGGTGAAGAGAGAACAGCCTCTGATGGTTCACCAATTTCAGCTGACCTGTGGCTACAACCGATGGTGCTTTCCGTTTATTTGCCGATGTTTTTCAGCTGGAGCCATCGAGGCAGCATCAGAAGCACGGCCGATCATCAGCAGATGTAGGGTTCCAGGTACACTTTTCTCCATGGGTCTGGCCAAAATATGCCAAAATATGCCCATTTTGGGGCCCCTGAAACTGGGACGGGGGAAAAAAACGGGCACCTCCTGCAGAAGTTTTGGATCCGTGAGGTCCATCTCGTTGGTCTCGCGATTAAAGGAACCGACCACCTGCGTGGTGCGTGGCGATTTCGGATGGGCAAAAGAAATGCCAGGCGGAAATACCACAGATGTTGAAATGTACATCATTAAAATTCATTAAACATCTATCAACTTAATGTCAAAAGATGTCAAAAGAATTCTGATTCCAGACTTTCAGGAGCCTTGGGGCCTTAAGCCTTCGAGCCCGGCCTTTTCAATTACGTCCTGTCACCAGTCTCTAGGAAGTAGGTCTAGCGATACAATGCGGTACATAAAGACCTCCATCCAGGCAAATTTTCAAGTTCATCCCTGGATTCTCAATTGAGGCATCTGCAATTTGATGGTGGCTTCAACATCCTAAAAAGGAAATCACCATAAATCACCATAAATCACCCAGTGTTTGCTGCATCAGAGTATGCAAAAGCCCTGCAACCCACAACCATAAAGCCCTGCCTGCTCGGTCTCAGGGTCCAACCTCAGTGGAACATGCACCAAGTGTTACCCTCAAAAAATCCAACCTGCAAGGCCCCCGGAAAACCGTGCCCCCCTTGGCCGTCGGACAAGCGCTGATCTGGAAGCAAAATGTAGGTCCGCCCGAGGTAGGAGATTGCCTTTTTGGAATCTGGAGATGAGAGCAGAAAAGCCGTGGAAACGCCTATCACTCCTTCAAACAAATATGAGTAATGGCAATGGAAAGTACCAGTGGAGGTTTCAATGAGAACATCATCTATGAATGACGGATTGTCCATTGCTATGTTTAATTCCAAAAGGGTACCTTGCTTAACGTCCGCCCAATGGATGAAATGGTCTGTTTCGGAATGAACATTCCAACACATATATTTTTTTTGGTATTGACCCAAAGTTATATGACATGCTGTACATGTGAGCAGTCGATATCAATCTGAGAGGCTTTGTTTTTTCATACCTCCACGTCCCCAGTTCGCAGTGATTTTTTGATCATGGTCTGTCTGTACAAATAGTTTGAAACATGTGGGGATGGGTCAAAACCCTATCCCCCTGTAGTTCACATCAAACTTGAGAGGGGGGGACGAAAGGTAGGGGGGAAAAGACAGGAGGGAGAGGCAAGAGAAGGTGCGACTGTTTGTAACGCAAGCACGCCGACGACGACGACTACTACTACTACTACGACTACTACTACTACTATGACGACTACTAGTACTAGTACTAGTACTAGTACTAGTACTAGTACTAGTACTAGTACTACTACTACTACTACTACTACTACTAGTACTACTACTAATACTACTACTACTACTACTACTACTACTACTACTACTACTACTACTACTATGAGGACTACTACTACTATGAGGACTACTACTACTACTATGAGGACTACTACTACGACGACGACGACGACTACTACTACTACTACTACGACGACGACTACTTCTACTACTACGACTACTACTACTATGACGACGACGACGACTACTACTACTACTACGGCTACTACTACTACTACTACTACTACTACTACTACTGCTACTACTATTACTATTACTATTCCTTCTACTACTACGACTGCTACTACTACTACTACTACTACTACTACTACTACCACTACCACTACCACTACCACTACCACTACCACTACCACTACCACTACCACTACCACTACCACTACCACTACCACTACCACTACCACTACCACTACCACTACCACTACCACTACCACTACCACTACCACTACCACTACTACTACTACTACTACTACTACGCCCAGGCCCGTGACACTTTACATTCAATTGGGAAGATCAACAAGGGTATTAGGGAATATTAAACTCCCACCCCTGTTAAACTTTACATTGAATTGGGAAGATCAACAAGGGTATTAGGGAATATTAAACTCCCACCCCCGTTAAACTTTGCATGCAATTGGGAAGATCAACAAGGGTATTAGGGAATATTAAACTCCCACCCCGGTTAAACTTCACATTCAATTGCGAAGATCAACAAGCGGATTCATGACTTCGTGGAAATTGCGTTGAAGAGTTTGCCGATTTCTAACGTTAGATGTATAAGGTAGGCATTTTGGACAAGAATCGGTTGGAAAGAAACTTTTGGAGTTTGAAAAGCTCACCCAAGCAGCTGGAATGTTTGTGTGCTTGTTGTTGGTGAATCGTTATTCTTGTAGGTATACCGTGTTGTCAGCACGCGGACTCGTTGGACGGGCCTCCAGGGAGTCGACTGAGCTAGTTGTTGACGCTGTGGAGGCGCTTCCGCCACGACTACATAAAGTATCGTTTTTTTGTTCTGTACAATGACGTTCCGAACTCCGAATACGTGGACCCGGTGGAGGGGCCTCCAAAGGGTCAACCAAGTGAGGGGTTGACTCTGTGGAGGCTCTCCCACCGGGTCCACAGAAACTATTGTTTTTGGTTAGTTGTTGCCTTTGTGATTTCTAGCAAGTTTACATAAAGTCCAACCGGGTCCACAGAAACTAATGTTTTTGGTTAGTTGTTGACCTTGTGATTTCTACCAAGTATACATAAAATATCGTTTTTTGTTCTGTACAATTACGTTCCGAACTGTGAATAGGTGGGCCCGGTGGAGGGGCCTCCAGAGGGTCAACCAAGTGAGGGGTTGACTCTGTGGAGGCTCTCCCACCGGGTCCACAGAAACTATTGTTTTTGGTTAGTTGTTGACTTCTTGTGATTTCTAGCAAGTTTACCTAAAGTCCAACCGGGTCCACAGAAACTAATGTTTTTGGTTAGTTGTTGACCTTGTGATTTCTACTAAGTATACATAAAGTATCGTTTTTTGTTCTGCACAAGTACGTTCCGAACTCCGAATACGTGGGCCCGGTGGAGGGGCCTCCAGAGGGTCAACCAAGTTAGGGGTTGACTCTGTGGAGGTTCTCCCACTAACAAGGGTATTAGGGAATATTAAACTCCCACCCCCGTTAAACTTTACATTGAATTGGGAAGATCAACGAGCGTATTAGGGAATATTAAACTCCCACCCCCGTTAAACTTTGCATTCAATTGGGAAGATCAACAAATGTATTAGGGAATATTAAACTCCCACCCCGGTTAAACTTTACATTCAATTGGGAAGATCAACAAGGGTATTAGGGAATATTAAACTCCCACCCCCGTTAAACTTTGCATTCAATTGGGAAGATCAACAAGGGTATTAGGGAATAGTAAACTCCCACCCCCGTTAAACTTTACAGTCAATTGGGATGTTGATGATGTTGATGATGTTGATGTTGTTGCTGATGATGCTGATGATGATGATGATGTTGATGAAATGAGGGAAAAATTCGTCATCCGTTTGCACAAACGAACGACACGGGGAATCTCACAAAACATTGGCCCTGCGCAGTCAAAACACACTTTCCCGGGCAGCACATCCGTCCTGGCCGTAGTACTACTACTACTACTACTTCTACTACTACTACTACTACTACTACTACTACTACGACTACTACTACTACTACGACGACGACGACTACGACTACGACTACTACTACTATCATTCGTATGGCACGTATCTCACTAGAATTTACCAAAGAACAGAAAACATCATTTTTTTCGGGGTTGCGCTTCATCTCGCCTCGATGAAGCACAACCAAGTGCTTGGGAGCACAACCACAGTCATTTATCGCACAAACATGAGCTTGGTTGCGCCCCCAAACGCTGGGTTGCGCTTCATCTCGCCTCGATGAAGCACAACCTTGGAAAAAGATATTTTTTTATCTTCTTTGGTAAATTTATGTCATCCAGACCGTAGCATATTCCAACTTCGCGAAAAACGCGAAAAAAGCGAAAAAAGTATCAACGTCGGAAAAGCGAAAAAGCAAAGCAGCAAAATCTAAAAAACACAAAAGCAGAATAAAAGGAGAAAAAAGAAAGGAAAAACACGGAGAGGCTCAAAGGGAAAAATAAAACAAGAGTTACATTTTTTGTTTTTTCACGCTTTCTTTCAAGTTTTTCGACAGGCAAAATAATCTATGGTCTGGAAGACATAAATTTACCAAAGAAGATAAAAAAAAAATATCATTTTCCAAGGTTGTGCTTCATCGAGGCGAGATGAAGCGCAACCCAGCGTTTGGGGGCGCAACCAAGCTCATTTTTGTGCGATAAATGACTTTGGTTGTGCTCCCAAGCACTTGGTTGTGCTTCATCGAGGCGAGATGAAGCGCAACCCCGAAAAAATGATGTTTTATGTTCTTTGGGAAATTCTAGTGAGATAGGTGCCATGCGAATGATATGAATAGGGGTCAGCATGATGTTAACGTTTATGTTCATCGTGGCACACCCAGTGGCGAAATGCTTTGATCCAAACATATCCGACGGCGACATGATGACATGATACACTCCACTACACCACCACACTACATTTCACTACTCTACATTGCACTGAATGACACTGCACCACAAATAGACAGGTAGACAGGTAGACAGATAGACAGATAGACAGAT